CTAATTCATAATTATTAAAATTATGAATTGGCTTTTATTTATTTTTTTTTAATAGTTTTTCAGGTTTCAAGTATATTTTAGGTTTTAATTTATTTTTATTTATAAATAATTTTAGCAGTTTGAACATATCAATTAGTTTCCAGGGCAACTTTTCCCATTTTTAAATTAATTTATTTTATTTTAGACTTTACATATAAAATATTTTTATTTTATTTATTTTATTTCAGATTTATTTCAATTAATGAAAAACTTTTTGAAGTTTTAGTAAACAATAACAACAGTGCATCAAACTTGCTGTGATGTGCCAAATGAAATTTTATTATCAGTGAATAATGTTTAAATTTCAGCTTTTTCACACAAAACATTAGTATGGCTCTATAAGATTTGAGGCATCTTTCCACAGCCGAGTTAAGGCTGCTCTAAAGTGTCTCTGTGTCTGCTTAAAAGTTCTGTGTAAAAACACAATGCCGCATAAAAGGAGACTTAAAATAAAATGGTCCCCGAGTATCAAAGGCTACTAAATGAACGTGAACTTGTGCCGCTCTAAACTACGTCATTGTCATGACAACCAAAAAGCACGCCTGTCTCAGCTCAAGAGGCGGGAGAATCAAGAAGAGAGAGACAAAACAGGCCTAGCTTCATATTGTTTTAGCCAAATAAAACAAAAATCACAAATGTAAGCCAACAAAGGACAATGAAGTAAAAGAGTCCTGTACTCACATCGGGAAGCAAACCACCAAAATGACTGAGTCGTCGACGTTTGTTATCTTCTTTTGAAGAGACTGGTAGATCATTGTGCTGCTACATTTCTCTTAGATATGGTAAATGCTTATTTGGCGTCACTGTGTTTATATTATATTCCTAAAATCTTCTTCTTAAGGACGATATTTCACCCACACACGACCTACCTGAAACTCTATCGATAGCATAATTTTTCATGCTTTCTGGCTCGTTGAAGAAGAAGAAAAGGGAAAAATGTGACTCTTTTAATCCTACGGTGATCTACTCAGTGCAATAATTCATAATTTCTTTGTAGTATTTGTTTCATCTGGATAATTTTTTTTAAGAAATAGAAAATAACTATATCAGTACCACAGACAAACATCAAAGCGTGAGATAAAGCAGCACGCAAATTAATGCACAATTTGCGATTTTATGCCGCTTCAGATTTGATTTCTGTGCCGCATTTTCTGTGTAAAGATGCCTTTGGAATATAAAGTCATGTGGTCACCATTCATTTTCATTCTTTGTATGAAAAAAAGGGAAGATGGAAAATCACATAGGAGTAGACGTAATTTTGACCAGAGGATTTCTCTTTTTATGACATTTAATGTGGCACCATATGATTTTTGAGAAAGGCCTAATCGTGACAGTTTGAGCATATCAGTATGTGTGTGAATGGTGAGGTATGTATTTTCACTTGCTCTAATAAATTGTCAGAGCTATGATTAATGTTGCACTTCTGTTGAGTTGAATGCTTCAGTACTCTCTCTCTCTCTCTCTCATACACACACACACACACACACACACACACACACACACAAATGTGACAGTTTGACGTAGAATTAAATGACTGACATCAGGCCTCTGTGGTGTGTGTGTGTGTGTGTGTGTGTACACTGCCCTGATTGATCTTTGTGGTAGGGTAAGTATCTATACGCTCCTAGATTTCAGATTCAGCCAACTGGAAAATGAGAAACCTCTACATCCCCGCTCCATTAGAAACATGATATCCCTGTAGACACACACACACACACACACACACCATTAAGAATCCCATATCCCATGGTGTCCATTTCTCTGAGCGAGACACAGCCAATGTGGGCCAGTATACACTGGAGTATGTGTGTGTGTGCATGTATTATTGATCAATACCTTTTTTTTCTCAATATATTTCTCAATATTTATCCATATGAACAGTCATGTGATAATTTGGAGAGCTATAGGTCAAGCAAAGCTAATTACAATAACATTCTTAAAGTGTAGCCTACTAGATTGCTGATGTGTAAAATATACCCAATGAAATTTGAAATATTTTGTTACATATCAATTTATATGTTTTGTGGTTTATACTTTTGACAACTTTGAAAGTTTGTGTTGACATTGGGAAGGTGGCAGTGAGACGTTATTAGGTATGTCAGGGTGAATTAGGACGGGGGTAATGTGGGACACTGAAGCACTGTTGAGTAAACGTCTTGGTAATATTTTAGTGTTTTATTTTTCATCTGAAGTGTTGGGATGATATTCAATGTAAAAGTTGTGGCGGGGTGGTGATGGCGCAGTGGATAAGACACATGCCTTTGGTGCGAGAGACCCGGGTTCAAATCCACTGGGAGACACCAATGTGTCCCTGAGCAAGACACTTAACCCCTAGTTGCTCCAGAGGCGTGCAACCTCTGACATATATAGCAATTGTAAGTCACTTTGGATAAAAGCATCAGCTAAATGAATAAATGTAAATATATATATTTTTGTAGTTATTACAACTTCATATTAATAAAGAGATGAGAAGGTATATATGCAGAGGTATAAAGACCATGGGCCAGAAAGTAAAAGTCCGGCCATATGTTTATTCCACCCATGAACTCAGCCAGCTTATTTCACTAATTAGTTCTATCTCCTGGGTGAAAAACTGTGCTAATTAGCAAATCCAGGCGATTGAACAAAATACTGAGGAGGACTTTTATTTTCTGAACCTGGACTTTACACCTCTGTTTATTGTTTCTCACAAAATCGAGTACACCTCTTACATTTCAGCAAACATTTTAGTATATCTTCTAGGGATGCACGATTTGGGCCAAAATGCTAATCATGATTATTTTGATCAATATTGAGATCACAATTAATTATCACGATTATTTGTTGATTTTAACAAAAACTATTTTTTGTCACATAGGCTAATTATAACTGCTTTCACATCCATATTGACATTCCTGCCAATGTACAACTATGTGCATAGAAATAAAATAGGTCGTCTTATTCACCAAAATTCAGTGCATCTCCTTAAAGAAAAAAGAAAAATAAATTAAACAATAAATAAAATGTAGCAAAACTTCAACAGGGCACTATTTTACATTTACATTGTGTAAATATATTTTAGGAAGCAAAATATAAACTTGCATTGTGTAAATGAATTGGTCATGTGGCTTTGCATGGTTAAACGATGTACAGCTATTATCACTTAGGGTGTACTCACTTTTGTTTCCAGCTATTTTGACAATAAGGCATACTGCCATACAAGCCGCACATTGACTACACTAAAATATATCCAAGTTTTATTTCTATAGTATTGTCCCTTGAGAAGATATACTTGCATGGATATATATGCATGTGTTTCTACTAGTTTCAGCCTGACGCAGATTTCCACATCCTTCGCCACGTTGTTTAAAGGTAGGGTATGGGATTTGCAAAACGGCTGGCAGATTTTGAAAATGCATAACTCAAAAGGTCCTACCTTCTTTTCTCCCAACACTGGCCCTGACTCCACCCATTTGAAAAACATGGACGTGCAATCATGCACTTACTCACTCACTTTTCATTTCAGTGCACCCATGGGTGTGCTGGTCTGAAAATGACGTGTGTTCAAGAGTAATATTGGTGCGTTGCTATTTTGAGGCATAGACCGTGCCATTGAACAACTGAAACCTGGTCAATGGAGCAGTGTTTATTTATTTTTTAATTTTTTTTATTTAAAGGGTGCATTAGTAATGTGTGCCTATGGGGGGTGCACAATGCGCATACACACACAGCGACACACAGCAGCACACAAACATGCTAAATATTACAAAGAAAAGAATTACAATGTAAACGATTATTATTGTGTACATAAAGAAATGGTGGATTCCGGCTTGTCTCGTAGATGGTTTGCTTTCGCTCTTGCGTGACCTCGCACACAAGCAGATCCGTTCCCTCTCTGGAGAAGCGTTTGGTCTTTCTGCTTGCAAATTTTGTCATGTAAATAGTGAATCTACCATGGCATGAGCGCAACTGACTTTTAAAGCAAATGGGAGATGAGACACTGGTTGGTTTATTGCATGTTACGTCCAAAACACACCCATTACTCATTAAGGGAATAGGGATAACCCTTTTAGACCATTCATGCATGGTTTTTCTAGACATAATTTGTATTAAAGTGGAAGGAAAGACTCGCACTGCCTCTTGAACTGAGGCGGAATTTGAAAGATGACACTGTTTCTTTTTAGAAGTAATAAAGCACAGCACTATTTGCGATTATTGGATGAGAGGCTCTACAAATAATGTTTAGTATAAGAAAAAACTGCAGAACTGGCAACCCTGGCTTGAACTATGAGTGATTCATAGGGTCAGAGATAGCCTGCTTTTATGTAGCTGTTTTAACTTGCCCTAAATTCATCACGAGACATTTTCTTCACACACAGTGTGAGTTGCATTTGGTCACGTTTTTCAGCACTCCTTTGATTGACAGGATATAATTGGCACTGATCATCGGCTATTTTTAAACAATCGATAATAGCTTTTATCGGCTGACCAATTATTGGCCGATAGATTGGTGCATCTCTAGTTGTTAATGAATGTAACTCCTTGAGATTTAAAACAACCTTATCAAGTAATCACAAAAAACTTGAAAAGTCATGGAAATGTATTATTCAAAAGGGCAAAAACTGTGGTCAATATCAAAAAGTAGCCCAATTTATGTGAATTTACTCCTTATGTAAAGATTCAGATTTCATATAAATTAGTTGATTTTTTTTTTCTTGCAATGTTAACTGTTAATACTGAATAGATCAACCAATAATCCTGATCTGATCAGACCAGTCTCTGTGTTTTTGTGTCATTATAATAATAAGTTGAAACTCATTTGATTCTGGTTTACTGAACTGTGAGCCTAAGTATCTCCCCTCTCCCCTCATGGATCATGGTGTTTGTGCATTAATTGCTTGATTTAAATACTCTCCTGTCTCTGGCCTGAACATTGGTGATTTTCTCTAATATGTGTTAGTTGTTGTTTTTGCTCTTCTCAGGTACGACTGCTCAGGGGAGCCCCCTGCTGGCCTCATTACAGGTGCAGGGTCGCCCGCTGCAGACCCCTCTGGACCTGAAACACTTCCTGCCCTTCCGGCTCAGTGGCTCCTCTCCCCTCAGCCTGTTCCCCAACTTCAACACCGTGAGTTAATCAACACTCTTGGTTTTATTTTCTAAACCTCACCTTCCCAGATCTAAGTGTCATCATTTAAAGTTAACTCAGAACATTTTAAAGGCGTCGCGTTGGATCCCAAATGTCAGCTCTAAATGTCAGGAATGATTCAGCAGGCTGAAGGGTATTTTTCTAAAGTGCAGAATCTTTGTAAAAAAAAAGGCCCGCTAAACAGGGGAGTATTGTATTAGATAGTAATTTTAGATTTAAGACTCGAGCAGAAACTCAGATTAGGATCTAGATTTAGTTTCAGACTCTCTGTGGACAGTTTTTGAGGCAGTATGTGTGTGTGTAACAGGGTTCTCTTTCTTCTGATAATTGCATTCTGGACACACACTCATACATTTACACACTCTCCATGTGTTATGTATTTGAGTACACTGTAGGTCGACTCAAAATAATATACCTTAGACACCAAGGGCACGTCTTTATAGTATATATGCGTTTGTTAATATATAGTCCGGTGCTGGTTCCCACTCTGTGTGTGTGTGTACTAGAGTGATAAATGCACCTGTCTCTACAGCAAAGTAGCTGTCAGTGACCTCTCTCCTCTCTTAAGCTCCACTGCTTTCCTTCCCGCTCCTCTCCTCTTCTCTTTACTGCTCCTTTAGTATTCTCATCTCTTCTCTGTCTTGTCTTTGCTCTTCTGCTCTCGTCTGCTCGTTTTTTTCTCTTCTTTTCTCTTTTCAGCTGATTTCTCTTATTATTTAATATTATCTCCTTATTGTCTCTTTACTTTTCATCGCACAATGTGTTGTGTCTTGTTTCATCTTCAAATTATTCCCTCTTTACTTCACCTCTCTTCTCCTCTCCTCTCTTTTCTTTCCGTTTTGCTGCTTTGCTTCTCGTCTCGTCTTATCTCATCGCACCTTCTTCTTTTTTTTCTGTCTCATGCTCCTCTCACCTTAATATTCCTGCTCCACTTCTCGTCTCATCTTGTCTTGTCTTTTTTTTATCTCTTCTCATATCCTCTCTTATCTTCTAGGGTCTTCTTGTCTCTTCTCTTTTTTGTTTCTTCTCATCTTTGCTTTGCTCTTCTCTTTTTTTAACAACTGTTTATTGAGTTTTCATATATATATATGAAGAGTTCAGATGCAAAAGCCTCTAAATGCCATTTGAAATTTTCTTCTTTAATGATGATTTTTTATCAAACTTGTATATTTAAGTTCAGTAATTTCACTTAAATTGCAATGATAATTACCTATTAATTGTTATTTAAGTGAAATTACTGAACTTAAATATATAAGTTTGATAAAAATCATCATTAAAGAAGAAAATTTCAAATGGCATTTAGAGGCTTTTGCATCTGAACTCTTCATATATATATATATATATATATATATATAGGCCAAGAAATACAAAAATACAAAGCAAAAACTATGCAAATCTACACCCACCCTTGGTAGACTTCTAGAATGTAGACATAATTAAAACGAAAAGAAAGTTTACAGAGATGTTAAGAAAGTTGACACAATATCAAAAGCAGCGTGCCAAAAATTCACAGTATTAACATTGGATCCATGCATACGAGATGTTCTATGGATATAACGTCCAACAAAGACACTGTCCATGTTCCCTATGAGAAGGATTGCGGCGGTTGACTAGCATTGTTTTTTTGCTGCTGTGAGAGTGGCTAACAGTAAATATCTTTGTGGAATGGATAAGGTAAGTTCCCAAAAAGTATTTTTTAAAAAGTGGTGTGGCGTCAAACATGTATCAATGTCCAACAGATATGATAAGTCCTGTGAGAGCTGGGTCCAAAAAGGTGAGAGAGAGAGACAATCCCAAAAGAAGTGCAAGTACGTGCCTAGAGATCCTTGAGAACAAAGATTAAACTTAGGAGAGGAGGATAGATTCAAATAAAAACGTTTCATATGAGTCAAGTAAACCCTATTTAGTAATTTCCAGTGTATCATTTGGAGATTGGAGTTCTTTGTAGACATCCTCCATACAGATTTACACTGCGTCAGTGGAACCCCCCCCAAAAAACAAGATGTTTCAGTTCATAGGGATAATCTATAGATTCCTCAATTGCTCTCCATGACACAGAAACATCAATATCAAACCAGATTGATAAAGGGCAGAGGGTAAAGACAGTCTAAAATTAGGGAAAGACAGACATATAATGTATGTAATCTGCAATGCTGTAAGGTAGTCAGCTTTGAGGACGTTTCCCATCCCATATATGATGAGAAACACATGCATCAAGTTTGTTCCAGTAGCCAGCATGTGAAGAAAGAGAAATCAGATGAAAAGAAATGAATATGTGGGAAACATAAATTTTAATCACTGATATACGAGCATAAAAAGAAGTAAGGACACAACAAGACCAATTTTCCAAGACAGCAAATGTCCAGCTGAAATTCACTGGGGGTTAGAGGCTAAATGGCGACTGAGAAAGTGTCTTGCTTCCTCTGGGGAGAACAGCATTTTTGGTTCACCTTGACTGAGAATCACCTTCATCATTGCAGGATAAAGAAGGAATTTCTGGATGCCAGCTTCCCTCATTTCCCTCCGAATTGGTGCAAACGCACTTTTCACCTGTAAGAAGATCGAGTTTCGAGCATAGCGACTGGACAGCTGACATGTCCGCATTGCGGTCAACTCTGTTTTAAGATTGTCTTCAAAAGGTGCTACAGTGTTAGCCATTCGGTCAAGCATATCAAAATGTCGTCAAAAAAGGGGCCACATGTATGGAGCTCTACTCAAGTGCGACTAGCTTCATGAGCACGTCACGTGACTTTGCTCTGCTCTTCTCATCTTATTTCTCATCTCTTTATATCATCTTTTGTCTTGTTTCATCTGCTCATCTCATCTCATTTATTTTCTTCCTGTTTTGTGTAATCTGTTCTCATCTCATTTTAATTTTTTACTGCTGATTTTGTCTTCCGCTCTGCTCATCATCCTCTCTTCCCTCATCTCATCTCCTTCATTCCTGCAGTAGTATCATGCTTATCTTCTGACCCTCTCCAATACTCAGTCGACAATAGGCTTCATCAGACACATACACTCACTGACACACACACACACACACACACACACACATTGACCTGGCAGCGTCCCAGCTGGTCAGGGATGACTGCGGATGAACAACGAGAACATTCTTGAGGCTCTAAAACAAATAGACGTGCGACCAGCTGCAGAGTCACTGTGATGTGGTGTATATTCCCATGGCGAGGACGAGGAGTGTAAGGGTTGCTCCGAGGAAGGAATGTGTTTGAATGACCGGAGAGAGTCTGTTGATTGGAAGTAACTGATTTGTAGAAATAATTTTTTTCACAGTCCATTTTAACATCATTTTCTCACCCTTCCCTCAGATGGACCCAGTGCAGAAGGCCGTGATAAACCATACGTTTGGTGTTCCTCAGGCTCTGAAGAAAAAACAGGTCATCTCATGCAATATCTGCCACCTGCGCTTCAACTCCACGGTTAGTGTGTAGTGTGTGTGTGTGGTTTACCCTCCGCAGTTGTGATGACAGACATCACGCTGGACGGGTAAAAGCTGTTTCATCCCTTACACTATTTATCCTTTCTTTTGTTCTTTCTCTCTTTCTTTATTTCTTTTTCTTCTCATTTTGTCTTTGATAATGTGAAACTATCACAGTCTCTTTAACATCTCTCTCTCTTTCTCTCTCTCTCTCTCACACACACACACACACACACACACACACAGTTGTTTTATTATAATTACTGCAGACTAACTGTAACCAAATCATATTAAGCAATGGAAAGTGTTACTGTCTATTGAATACAGTATACCACAACCTTGAGTCTTATTGCTTAAATTTGGTACTACATATAATTAAGGACAGGAATTTTCATTCAAATTTTTGATTGAAATAATATTTTTATCAAAAATGAAAATTCTGTCTTTATTTTCGGTCATGTTGTTCCAAAGTTGTATGATGTTATTTTACCAAAATGTTTTTTTTCATACAACAAAATGTCATGGTGATCACAGTTGTCAAGCACCAAATAGTCATATCATGTCTCATGCACTATATTTTGAGTCATATAAAAGCTTTGTGTGAAGAACAGACTAAAATGTAAGTCTGTAAATCTTCCCCTCTGTCACAGCTCTCAAATCTCATTCACGTTTGGTTGCAGCACACGAGAACCTTTTTTAAATTTCAGGTTCAGATTAATATTGCACAATGACTAAAAATTCAGCCTGTTCCTCAAACAAAGCTATTGTTAAGAAGACTTGACATATAATGTGTGTCATAAGAACTACTTTCATGATTATTGTTTGTACCTGAGAAAACTATGGTGGCCCAGTAGTGCACAACAAAACTAAATTAAGCCACAACATAATGGAAACGAGCCACAACACAACGTAAAATGTACAACACAATGGAATTGTGCGACAACACAACGGAAAATGTACAATGCAACGCAACGAAATTAAGCCGCAACAAAACAGAAATGCTCCCGACCACTAGAGGGCTCTCGGAGGGCTCTCGGAGTTTTCCATGCCACTGTTCTGTAGAGTCAGCAGCCTAAATAATATATCAACACCACAATTAGTTGTAGCTAACATGTAGTTAACCATTGTATATTGACATTTATTTTTTCAAAATCACCTACATGCATTATAGCTGCACATTTAGACTCTAGAATGCTTTGGCGCACTACCAAAGCATTAATTTTGTTGTGTTGTGCACTACCGGGCCACCGTAGAAAACAGCCCCTCACATTTTCATGTGTTCCACAGCCAACAAAAAATCATAAGGGTTTAGGGTATGGCTTTTTGTAAATGACTCAACAGTGAAGTGCAGCTTTAACTGCCTTTTTGTTTCTGGCAAGTCTAGTGCTGCGTTGGACAGCCATGTGTGAGAGGAGAGAAGATCCGCGCGGATGAGATGATGTACACGAGAAATGAAAGCATTCTTATCTCCATTGCCAGATTCATGCTGCTTGTGTTGTCACAAACAATTAGGTCCCACTCACTTATAGTGTCTGTCAGCCTTTGAGCGACACATGATCAGTTTCAGGCTGGTTTGCAAGAATTGTGGTGACCATATTTTTATTTTGGGGGGACCTGTTATGTCAGTGTTGCTTATGCAAGAATGTCAGTGTTTTATTTATTTATATATTTACACTCACCTAAAGGATTATTAGGAACACCATTGTAATACTGTATTTGAGCCCCTTTCGCCTTCTGAACTGCCTAATTCTACGTGGCATTGATTCAACAAGGTGCTGAAAGCATTGTTTAGAAATGTTGGCCCATATTGATAGGATAGCATCTTGCAGTCAATTGAGATTTGTGGGATGCACATCCAGGACACAAAGCTCCAAAGATGGGTTGAGATCTGGTGACTGTGGGGGCCATTTTAGTACGGTGAACTCATTGTCATGTTCAAGAAACCAATTTGAAATGATTCGAGCTTTGTGACATGGTGCATTATCCTGCTGGAAGTAGCCATCAGAGGATGGGTACATGGTGGCCATAAAGGGATGGACATGGTCAGATTTCAGTCAAAGTTGCTCTTATATCAGCTTGAATCAGTCGGCCCATTCTCCTCCGACCTCTAGCATCAACAAGGCATTTTCGTCCACAGGACTGCCGCATACTGGATGTTTTTCCCTTTTCACACCATTCTTTGTAAACCCTAGAAATGGTTGTGTGTGAAAATCCCAGTAACTGAGCAGATTGTGAAATACTCAGACCGGCCCGTCTGGCACCAACAACCATGCCATGCTCAAAATTGCTGAAATCTCCTTTCTTTCCCATTCTGACATTCAGTTTGGAATTCAGGCGATTATCTTCCTATCCAGGAAGACCACACCCCTAAATGCATTGAAGCAACTGCCATGTGTTTGGTTGATTAGATAATTGCATTAAAGAGAAATTGAACTGGTGTTCCTAATAATGCTTTGGGTGAGTGTATATAGCTAATGTGTAAAATTACAATAGTTGGAATGTTATATTGACCAAATATCTTCCAGAAGACACACTGTCACATCCACCAGCTTGAGTGCCCATAAAAAAGTAGTTTGTTACATAGATACACACACACACATACACGTCTGGTTCACTATCTTTGTAGGACTCTCCATAGACGTAATGGTTTTAATACTGTACAAACTGTATTTTCTCTCCCCTTACACAGACCCTACCCCTAAACCTACTCATCACACAAAACTTTCTGCATTTATATATATATATATATATATATAATACTCTTTCTGTATGATTTATAAGCTTGTTTCCTCTTGGGGACCTTAATTTAGGTCCCCACATTGACACGAGTCCCAATGAGTCAGTGTTAGGGCTGTGAATCTTTGGGTAGACAGCGAATCGATTCGATTCACGATTCATAGGTTTTCGATTCGATTCAGGAACGATTTGTGCAAATTCAGAACGATTCGATGCGATTCACATCCAAATTCGATGCGATTCGATTAATTCGATTCGATTCTTAATTTTTTATATGCATTATAGTATTATTTCAATGCTTCACCCATCTTTGTCTGGGTTTGAATTAGCCTACAGCGGCCTCCGGGGATCAGATAGTGGGGATTTTGTCCATTGTTAATGTTAGTTCATGTTTGTTTTTATTTTCATGAATATGAAGAGTTCGGATGCAAAAGCCTCTAAATGCCATTTGAAATTTTCTTCTTTAATGATGATTTTTATTAAACTTGTATATTTAAGTTCAGTAATTTCACTTAAATAACACTTAATAGGTAATTATCATTGCCATTTAAGTGAAATCACTGAAGTTTGATAAAAATCATCATTAAAGAAGAAAATTTCAAATGGCATTTAGAGGCTTTTGCATCTGAACTCTTCATATATTATTATAAAAAAAAAATTCAATGGCCTACAAATTAGCATTTACAAGTAGCAAATATTTTGAAAAAGGCTTTTAAAGTATTGCATTAAATGACTACATGCACAAATTAATGGAGACGTTTTCATTAGTATCATTTTGCGTCCTCTCAGTGCACTCGTTATCATCTTTTCAGTGGATTTTGCTCGCGCTCGGTCGCATAGCTCTCATGCTTTCATAACGTTAACTACAGATTTTTGAGCAGTCCATGTTTGAGCTCTCCAGCTGAGCTCTCTGTCGAGAAAGCAATAGTTTTGAGGCAAACCGCTCAAGCCATTGATAAAGCTGCCATGCCATTGCGTGGGCAATATGAAATAAAACGCTTTCATTCATTTTTTTGCGCAAGGTGGTCTCTCGCTCGCTTTCCCTCTCTGCCGAGTGCGTGCAGCCGTGTGAACGCGCGATACGCGGTTTGGAGCACAACCTCTGTCTCGTATGCACGCTCGCTCTAGATTCCGGGAGATTTTAACTAATTTGCGGTAGGCTAATACAAGCTGATCACGACATGAGTAGCTCAACAGGTAGAAAGATAGGCTAAACTCATCTTTCAGGCATTTGACCGACCGGGCTTAAGCGTGAGAAATCAGGGGTGTGTGAGTGCCTGAAACCAATCAAATGCGGATGTCGTATGACGGCCAATGCGTGAGGCAGCTTGTACCAGGAACACTTTGAGGTTGTGTTTATATATTTTAAACCACTGACTCGCTATAAAATCGTGATTAATTCGATTCTTAGCCTTTTAAATCGATTATTCACGTAAATAACGATTCACGATTCAAAATACATGTTTCAGGATCGATGCATATGCATCGCCAGGATTTATAATCGATGCATCGAGAAAACGAGTGAATCGTTACACCCCTAGTCAGTGTGCATTCAGGTCCCCACTGGGATCGAAAAACAAGCACACACTCACACATTCCTGCTTTGTTGGGGGATTTATGTGTGTGCAGCAGCAGCAGCAGCATCTCTTTCATGCTCACAGCATGTCTGTGTATCTATTAGCAGTAGCAAATTCATCTTTTCTCTGCAGCAGCAATAATCAATCAGCAATAATATATATATATATATATATATATATATTGGTTCACATAAGTATTTTAGTCATGAAACCAAACCTGTGCACCTAAAAATTGTGTATTTGTATGTTCCTGATGAGCTGTGGAAAAACTATAGATTAGGGACATCATTTGTGGTTCTGTTCTTCTGTTCAGTTTGCACTGCTATTTGGGACATTTTTAGCCCAGATATATTCTAAGAGAGAGAAACCCAACAGCGTTTGCTCAGTTAGACATCTGAAACCCTATCAATTACTCATTAGTTTCCCACTGCTTGTGCTTCACCATACAACTCTGTCTTTCTCTGCTTTAGTTTTCCTGTTAGCCCATCTGTCTGTTTCTTCTTGTCTCATCTTTCTCTCTCATTCTCTACAGATTTGATTTATTATACTTTACAGATCATTTTAAAATGCTGATTTGCTGCTCAAGAAACATTTCTTATTGTCAATATTGAAAATAGTTGTGCGCCTTAAAGGAGAACTCCAGCACAAAATGAACCTTTGGTCTAATAACCATGAAAACCGAATGTAAAGAGTTTTATCTCTTAAAACTGTTTAGCGTATAATGCTAGTAAGTAGGGCTTAGAGTAATAAAAAATATAAATCGCTTGTTAATAATGGTTTAATAAGAAGATACTTTATAAAGACAGTCCACTTTGCTTATACAGGCAGGAGCCGTCTTTGGAAAACAGTCTCGACCAGCCGCCATGTCAAGTGTGACTCTTGGCAAATGGTTCATTGTTTGTCTGTGTTAACAAAGTCTGTGTTACTGTGGGGCTATTTTGAGCCTTGTTAGTGGTATTAACTAGCGATTAAATTTTTTCCATTACTCTATGCCCTATATTCTAGCGTTATACGCTTTTAGAGATGAAACTCTTTACATTCGATTATCATGAAAACAAATCTCAGAAAACAGTTGACTAGGTACCAATGTGTTATTAGGCCAAAGGTTCATTTTGCGCCGGAGTTCTCCTTTAATATTTCTGTGGATATCGTGAGACTCTTTTTCAGAATTCTTTGATGAATAAAAAAAGTTCAAAAGAACAGCATTTATAAATCATGTGTAACATAATAAATACAAAGTTCTGGCATGAAACTCTAGATGGTGCAGGCTAATAGGTCTTTTTACTCACTTGTTCATGATCACATTGTTATCTATAGGGCACAGCGAGCTGATTGGTTCCTGCTGTATCAGAAGCCAATGAGCTCGCTGCTCCTCCTTCAAATACTTTGCCTTAGCAGTATCCTTGCTGAATAAATGTACTTCCTGGCACCAAACTGTGCTGTTTATAGGGGTGTGTATAAACATCCCCCTCCTCATCTGTTCAAAGCAAACATATGGTCCCCCCCTAGATGAGGGTCATCTGCTAAGTACTTAAGAGGATTTGAGCAGGTTGATTACTCCCTCTGGGCCCACAGACTCATTTCTCCACTGATATTAGCCCAAGACTTGCTTGATGAACTCTGTGTCAACGTTGATTTCCAATTTTAAAAACTTTAACCAACTGCCATTCCATTTAAATGTTATTTCTATGCTTTTTCAACAGTGTTGGTGTCATCTTCAAAAATCAAATTAATTTGTAAAATGATTCAGAATGCAATAAGGGAATCACAGCTCAGCATGTCAACTGCTCATTTTCACTTTAATTACATGCTGAATTATTTCAGTACATTTCAGCAGAAATCTGGATTACAGCTGAAGTCAGACACATTCACTTTTTAGCTTGACGTGGTGTGTGTGTGTGTGTGTGTGTGTGTGTCTTTAAATACAATGCCTCACTATCTCTCACACTCATTCACTAATTTTATTAACAGTGTAATTATAAAGTGTATTCCATTTGACACCTGCAATTGTAATTCAGGCCCTCTGCTGGACATTTACTCTTATCAACCTCATGCACACTGTCTGTTCTCACTGTGTGTGTGTGTGTGTGTGTGTGTGTGTGTAGACACCCAATTATCTATTAACATGTTTATGTGTTTTTGTGCATATGCTGCCAAATGGGCCCACCTGCAATTTTTTTATTATTTATTTTACATTTAATAATTTTGCAGACCACTTTATCCAAAGCAACTTAAAAATGAGGAATACTGCAAGTGATTCATCATGAAGAGGCAGACAAACACAAGTAGTGCTCAGTTTCAGACATTGCTTGGAGTATCTAAAGCTAGAATAGGGAGGGATTAAAGGAAACTGAAAGCAAAGAATAATGTTTTTGCTCATCAGTGTATATCCAAGTGGATTGGCTTCTTGAATAAAAAAAAATGTGGGGCAGCACTTGATTTTGTCCATCGGGTATTGAATGGACTGTTGCCTTTGCTGTGTGGTCTCACATGAGTGTCACCTTTTCGCCAGAAGATATGTCTATATGCAAAAGAGAGGGGAAATTATTTTGATTAAACATTCTGAGAGCCCATGAATTAAAAAATAAATAAATTATACTGCAACATTAAAACATTCATGGTTTTGCTTTTAGCCTTTTAGAAATAGCAGTTCTGCACACTTTGGACTTCTCTGAACTTCTCTCAGCCAACCTTTTCATGTGCATCCTAAGATGTTTTTAAGTTCTCATGGATGCTCAGCTCAAAAGTTAATAATAGTTTGTTTCATATGTAATTAAATGTTTGTGTCGTAAGGGAATTCAGATGTAGTGGTAGACTAGTAGTGTGTATGCCTGCATGTTTCTGTAAATGTGAGAGGTTTTGCAGTCCTTTTACTCTCTCTCCCACTATCCCTCTCTATCTATCTGTCTTTAGAATCAAGCTGAGGCTCATTATAAAGGCCATAAACATGCTCGTAAGCTGAAGGCATTAGAGGCTCAGAAGAACAAACAGCAGAGACGACAACTCGACAATGCGCATCACAACCGAGACAGAGACAGAGAGAAGGAGAGAGAGAGGGACAGGGAGAGAGACGGCAACAGAGTAAAAATGAGCGCTCCGGATCCACTTCCTGCTCTGCTGGATGACACCGCCGTGGAGGGAAGTAAGTGAACTCACTGACAATTAGCTGTTTGAGTGGCCATTTCCATTACTGCATAAAAACGTGCCCTGATGCTTTAATATAAAATAAAGCCTTTAACTTCTGTGATTAGATATCGTTCAGGGTGTGTAGACAATCAGAGAATATTGGGCTTAAAATATTGTTGGATTGGACTTGGGGTGGTTATTATATGCAAATGTCTGCGTATAATCTTTTAAACCCCTATGAGAAACCACTGCAGGCACTTATATTTATATAACCATTCAAAAGTTTGGGAGCAGTAAGTGTTTTTCTCACAATCTGCATTTATTTGATCAAGAAGTCAGTAAAAACATTAATGTTGTGAAATATTTTTTTTAAAGTGACATGTTTTGTATTTCAATATATTTTAAATTGTAATTTATTCCTGTGATGCAAAGCTGAATTTTCAACATCATTACTCCAGTCTGATTCTTCAGAAATCATTCTATTTAGATGATTTTCTGCTTTTTTATTTCTTATTATTATCAGTGTTGAAAATGGTATGAAAATTGTTCTTGTGTAATAAATAAAATATATTGCATTTTTTATATAGTATTATAAATTAAGCTATCGATTAACAATAATTTAAAGGCTTTTTGAAAAGGCCCAAATAAAATGCACAGAGTGAAAATCTGGGCTTGATTTATAACAAGTGTTATTGTGAGACTAAGTGTCTGGAGAAATTTGGGCTTTTGTCATTTTATTTTAAAATGCGTTTTAGAAAAACCATGCATTGAGCTTGCCTGTAGTTCCTTCACTGTGAATATCCTCCAGTCCTGCTCTTCATGATCTATCCTGTGGATTGAGGGGATTTCATTTCTTACTGAAGGACTTGACTTTCCTCTTGTCATGAGGAAGTATTGTGACAGAGAGCAGAACAACAAGCCGACAGAGAGCTTTGAGCTATCCCTCTCCAATAATCTCTACCTTTTCATCCCTTTTAAACTCTTTCTTCTTCTCCTCTGCCCAAACTCTATAGAATATGATTTGAAAAGCAAACCGAATAAGGGCCCATGGGGATACGATAAAGAAAAAAAATTGAGAGGAGAGAGTTAGAAACTCCTCATCCTTCTGCAACAATACCGTGAGTGTGGGAAAAGCGAGAGAAAAAGAGAGCGAGAAAGCATATGAAAGTGGAGGGCAAAAAGATAGAGAGCAAGAACACCAAGCTCATCAAATCACATTTTAATATCGGCCCCATTCATGGCGACAACGGTGAGAGGGCGCGTACAATCAGAGAGGAAGGAAAATGGAGATTAGATGAGAGTGAACAGAGAGAGTGAGAGAGAACAGAGAGTTTAAAAGAGATGGAAAATGAGAAGATTAGCCATTGAATTTTTGTCTGGAGCCTTTGTGTTTGGATTAGCTCTCATGCACATGCCAACACACTCCTCATACTAGCAGTGGGCATGAAATACATATTTCTAAAATGTAGTTGCCCAAATGTCTAATCTGTTGTAAAATAAATATATTAAGGTTCATCTCTCCTTGAACTGAGCCTTTATAAGGGGGTAATTACTAAAGGCATAAGTTGGACTACTGTTAACTTGATACTGTGTCTTAAAATTGCATGTGAAGGGACACTGTTAGCATGCAGTTAACCCTAAAGTGCCATTGTATTATATTTGTTATGGCTATTTGTTAAGGCTTCTAGTCCTTTTGTTTCGAATTTAATCTCGAAACATTTCGACTTTAATCTCAAAATGCTATAGATTTTTTTTTTTTTTTCATTTTTTTTTTTTATGTTGCGGTTCAGGGCTTCTGCCCCCTGGTGGATGATATATGATCTTCAGAAAGTAGAAGGACTGTCAATTAAAAAACGTGGCCAAAAAAAAATATCACGATACAATTTTTCATAGCGAATGATACTGATAATTATCACGATAAATGTCAAAGCTTTATTTCTTTCACGTTTAAAGGGATATTTTTGCTGACGTTTTTTAATTCTTTACACTTTCCCAGTCATTTTTCCATTACAGAATAAATGTCTTTATAGATAGATTTATTTCTTAGTTTCTGTATGTTCTGATGGGTGTGACTATGATAGCATGTATCTTCAGCAGTTTGCATTCCAGGCTGCAATATTAATAATATTACATGTTTTGTCTCTTAGAAATGTAAATTTGAGCTTGAGTTCACAGCTTGAGTTAGGATGTTAATTTATCTTCATTAAAAAAAACAGTAACATCTGCAGAAAAAAATGAATGCCAACAATCTTATTTTTATATGTTGAATTTAAATAGTTTCATAGTTCCATGTATAATTTTTGGTATTTTTATTATTATGAAAAACGTGTAGATAAACTTTGTTTTGTGACCCATCCCTACATCAGCATATGTGCATCAGTCAGTTGCAATGTTTAATTTTACTCACTGATGGTTTGACGCTCTCATTTAACAGATAACACACACTCTTAAACCCAGTGCTGCCACACTCACATTCACATATGAGAGATAATCATTCAGTGGATTTTGAAATGCTCTTATACTAACGCACACACACACAAATTGAGCTGATTGCCTGATGAAATTAGCAGTGTTCAATCATTAAGCTCGCAGCTGCAGGGGCCAATCACGACTCTACAAGCATGTCAGCTGTTATTAACAGCCATGAGATGCTGGAAATGGAAAGGGAGGATGGGAGGGTGCTTCTGGAAATTTCTAGAAGAAGGGGTCCATTTTACAGCCGCTGTTGAAGCTCTTAAAAATGCTCTCTCTGTCAGATTTCACAGATCGTTTTCATCATTATTTTGCTGATGTAGCCTAGTATGAACAACCGCAGTATTTTACATTTGCCGAATTTGTTTTGTTTTTTACAAAGAGAGAGTTAAATATAGTCATCATGCTCTATCCTGTTCTCTTCGCTATCCGTCACTCCATTCTTCCACATCTGTCCCCGTCTGTTTCATGTTGCACGTCTCTTTGTGAAAATGGAGATGTCCAAAACGGAAACGATTTAAAAAGAGTGACTCAGATCACATTAGTCTTTGAAGATCATTTGTACAATCCGCACTGCAAGAAACACACACACACACTCCAAAGAGAGATGGGCACAGAGTGTTACCCAAGGCAATTCTCTCCATTCCATTAACTTTCACACATTTTTCAGGTGTGAAGGCAAAACTCCCACACGTGTTCACACACAACCTTCCATTCAATGCTTTGTTTTCCTCACATTCTTCCTCTGTATCCCCTCAGGAACCTCCTTTTAGGGGAATTGGTATAATCTAAATCTCAATGAGACTCAGAAGGATCAGTCTATCTGATTCCCCAGGTGGGAGAATTCAACAGATCTGTGCACATATCATGCAACCGAGTGTGATAAAAAAGGCCTTATGGGCCACTTCTCACACATACCTGTTTTCACGTGTTTAAATCCTGTGTTAAATTACTCAGCAAAACTAAGGCATTAGGACTCCTACAGTGCTCGTAAAGGTCAGTGCTGCACTCTCTGATGGGTCATACATTCACAAACACCTATTACTGTAGGCTATATGTCACGTAGGAGGCAGGCCTGCTAGGAGACGTGTTGGTTTTATGCAAGGCTGTGGAATGGCTATAGTGCATATGCTAAAGACATTGCTAATGTGTTATTTATCACCAATTTGTTCTGTGGTTTTGCTTCAGAACCCAGGTTTTCATATAAAAATTGATTTATTGAATGAAACCTAAATAAAAACTTAACAGGCTTGTTTTTTTTTTAGTTTTAGTGTTTGGATTTTAAATGTCTCTTTATTTTCTATGGTGTGTATCATGCTAACAATAGCCAATAATTCACTTCAGAAAACACATTGTGATCAGGACAAACCATGTTGTTCCTCCTCCTCGCCTGTGTTTAATGTAGTCATATTTTCTTTTACCTTTTTCTATGAGGATGAAAGCATGTCATATCCTCCTGTCCATGCAGGCCTTTGCCTAATTGGCAATTTACATTTTTCGACAGAAGCTTTTATCCAAAGCAACAATTTTATTTTTTCATTGAATATTTGTAGAGTACCATAATTTGTGAAGACGACAGTAGTCACAGGCAACATTTTTGAAATGTGAATTGTGAATGATTCTTAGATTTACAAAAATAGGTACCAATTTACAAAAAAGGTTTCAGTATTTATGTTACTGTATTTGTTCATCTTTATTGTTCATTGTTTCATTCATGTTAGTTCACAGTGCATTATTTAATGTTAACAAATACAGATTTTTATTTTTATAATGTATTATTAAATGCTGAAAAAAAGCATTTAATAATAAAGGGGTAGCCCTTTATTATTGGTTTTATTAAGTCAATAGGGGGGGTTAAATATGGTTCTGTGTGCTTAGTGAAACTGTGAGAGCATTTGATTCCTCACTGCACAGGCTGCTATGGCCCTTACCTTATTTTTCAACAGATCAAATAGAAGGACATGACACTGTATTTTCAAAGGCAGACTTAAATAAAGTTCTCTGAAGTTCAACACATGAGCACCGGTCTATAAAAGCTCAGCCCTAAGTAATGTCGCATGGCCGAAAACAGTCTGTCTGAAAGTGTCCGTATTTATGTTTGTGTTCCTGTGCGCTAAACATTTTTGCCAATTTGGATACTAGCCCACAGCTAAATTACAGCTCGCAGACATTCAGATGTTTGGGCGGAAAGGATATTTTTATGCTGAATAATGGTGCTCTGCCGCTGGCTCACTGCCTGCACTTACTGGTTGTTATATAGATTTTCAGCTAATATGTAAAATAACACGCATACACACAACATCTAGTTTACAGATGTCGCCCAAATGGTCTGTTGTGAAACTTTCTTTGTGTCTGCCTGTTTGTTACACATTTCGAATCATGGTGCTCTAAAATCGCCAGAGAGCTACCGTTTCAGTATTCGTCTCATTATAGAAGTTCATTGGTTGTACAGGCTTTTTAAAACTCTTAACCTAAAAAAAAATAATCTCATTGTTTTCAATGTAATGGAGGTGAAAAGAAAATGAAAACAGTACCATAAAACTGGTCCATATGATATACACTATTTTCCAAGTTATCTAAAACCATTAATTACCAACTGAAAATAATAGTTCATGTTGATGTATTGATGTAACCATATCCCATTTGTGAAGTTATATTTTGAGTTCCTCATTTTAATGAATGCTTACTCTCGTTCACAAAATCGGTCTGAATGATTCATTTTCGAATCAGATTGATTCAACTTTGAGCTGTAGTATCACTTATATTATATTATATTATATTATATTATATTAATCGCGATTAATCGCATCCAAAATAAAAGTTTGTGTTTACATAATATGTGTGTGTGTGTGTACGGTGTATAATTATTTTTTAATACATAAATACACACACATGCTTGCATATATTTAAGAAATATTTTCATGTATATACTGTATATAGATTTTTATATAATTTATATTATATATATATAATATAAATATTTTATATATACATTTTTTTTTCTTAAATTTACATGCATGTGTGTGTGTGTGTGTGTGTGTGTATATATATATGTATATGTATATACAGTAAATAAATTAATTATACATGGTACACACACACATATATTATGTAAACACAAACTTTTATTTTGGATGCGATTAATCGCAATTAATCGTTTGACAGCCCTACTTAAAAAGAATAAAACTCATTTATCCATAAACACTCCTGCAGATATGTACAATTATATGTACAGGGGAACAGCAATCTGACGTTCTTTTTCTCTCTCTTAAGCTGCAATCTGTGACTCGGACCCTGTCGCCAGGGTGGATGATGCTCATTCTAGTTCAGTGGTCCTGACACCTATATCAGAGGTGTCATCTGCGGACCTGTCGGTCTCCTCCCCTCACTCCCAGCACCCAGACGGACTGCTGGATCCTGCCAGTGCCACCAGTGAGACGGGCGCTCAGCAGGACAGCCCTACAGGAGACACACCGGCAGAGAAAGACCCCAAAAAAACGGCCAAACAACAACATCTGCATTGCCCCATCTGCAAAGTCACCGTCAACTCTACCAATCAGATGGAAGCTCACAACAGTGGTGCATACCTTTATTTATTTACACTTTTCTGTTTTCACTACTGGGGTTAGTAAGTATTTTCAGCGAGGATGTATTGAATTGTGACTGTAAAGACATATAATGTTATAATGTCAAATCATCATATTAGAATGATTTCTGAAGGATCATGTGACACTGGAGTAATGATACTGAAAATTCAGTTTTGCATCACAGAAATAAATGACATTTTAAATTGTATTAAAATAAATGCAGCCTCGGTGAGCATAATAGTCTTTGAAAAGTCTTACTGACCCCAAAGCTTTTAATGTTTGTGTATTTTGTCTGTAAACTCCTAAATCTACCCCATAAACTGAATATATACAGAATAATTGAACACACATTTTCATCATACTGCATTAATATTTCATCACCTAATAAAAAAGTATAATAATGTAATAAATAATAATTTCAATATCATCTGAGAAAATCCATTTTCATTAAACAATACATGTATTTATTGACACAGTTGAGGTTTTAATAAATTGAAGGACTGGCTAAACTCCAACTTGAGCAAAACTAAGATCTTAATTACTAAAAAAAATATATAACCAATATTCCTAGCTTTGACCTTGATGCATACATTTTTTTCCATCTGCCACTATCAGAAACTTTGGTATGACCCTAGATGCCTATTAGCAAACTCCCCAAAATAGCTTTCTTCCAACTTCACTGTATCGCCCAACTTCATCTCTACGTCAGCTCAAAAGATGCTGAATCATTATAACATGCATTTAATACATCTCACATTGACTACTGTAACACTTTTTTTGGACTACCAGCACACTTACCCACTTGCAATATATTCAAAGTTCTGCTGCGAATATAAACTTACTCTAAACAATCTGCTCGTATTACTTCCATCTTATTTAACCTCCACTGTCTACCTGTGTCATCCCTTATTACAAAATTCGTATGCTTACCTTTAAGCCACTCTTGGTCTTGGTCAATGGTCCCTCTTATCTTTCTGACTTACTCTCCCCCTATATTTCCTCTCGATCACGCCGATCGCCTGGGTGTGAACTACTCAGTCCCCAGATTTCGCCTATCACCATCAATGGGTGGCAGGTCTTTTTCTGTTTTGGAACCTAAGCTATGAAACTCACTCCCCCTGACATTTAGGACAAATACCTCAATCCATGAATTCAAATCACAACTCAACTTTTTTGTTCGCTGAATATAATCAGTCATAATGGGCCCTATTTTAACGACCTAAAGAGTGTCAAGCGCAAAGCACAAGTAACTTTGTGGGCGGAATGATTGGCATGACATCATTCTCTACACTAGAACGTGAGGCATCATGCAAACCTTAAATGACCTAAAAAGGGTTGGTCTGAAGTACCAATGACCTAAAAAGGGTTGGTCTGAAGTACCAATGACCTAAAAAGGGTTGGTCTGAAGTAGCTTCATTATTCATAGGTGTGGTCTGGGTGTAAAGGGAAACAAACCAATAAGAGAGTCATATCACGTTCCCTTGAAGAGCATGATGAACGAGGTGCTTGTTCCATGATGCAATTCTATTATTTTCCAGGCGCGCTTCAGAATCGGTTCACAACCGAGGAGATCGATGTTCTCGTCAGGGCCGTGAAAGAAAGAGAAGTGACATTGGGGATGGGACAAACCCACCCAAATTAGCTTCGGTTAAAACATGCATATAATAATTTGGAATAACCCATCGCATTTGTGAAGCGTCCTAGAGCTCCAGAAGGCGAACATTATTATTATCATTAATTATTAAATAGCTTTGTTGCATACATTTACCTAAATTGTTTTACAATTCCATAAATTCACCCCAATTTGTGCAAAATCAGTAACCATCATCTTCTGAATTCCTTCACCTTTCCACATGTCACAGGCACCAAGCATAAGCTAATGATGGATGGACAGAGTGTGTTGCCCCGAAGACGAGGGAAGGCAATGTCATCCCGCACCTCATGTAAAAGCAAGCGATTGGCCAGCAAGGGAAGTGTGGGCGTGGCCAGCAAGAGTTTCTACTGTGAAGTTTGTGAGATCCATGTTAACTCTGAGACTCAACTCAGCCAGGTAACAAAACAAATGTACACAGATGCATGTTCACATTGTGTGTGTTCTCTATTATAAGGACAATGTAACTAGCTGTGTTTTGAGTATCAGATAGCTACATTGCAGGGTTGTTATTTGATCCAGTCAGAAATGACTTTCTTCTAGAAGTTGACAGAACAGCTGCTGGCGATCTACACTATTAACAGACACATAGTTTATCCTGTCGTTATTGGCAAGTTCACTGTTTCTCGGAAGAAACGCATCACTCCTCAGCCAGGTCTGTTACCTGATATACTGTAATTGTGCAAAGGAAAGCATGTACTAGAGTTTCAAACATAAACTAATAGATTTAAAGGTGTATCTTGTCCTGCAAGTTACACACACCTCATTATCTTGTTTGGATTTCTGGGTTAAATTTTCAGTATACCATGAATATGCTAATCAGTCCGAGACCCTCAATATAAAGTCATTGTAACCAATCGAATCTGTGTTTCCAATGCATATTGGTTGGGTGTCTGTGTCCTGGTGGAGGTTAAATTATTGACATATTGGGTGGGTTGCACCCATAAGGATTAAGTTAAACACAGTTTAAAACTAATCTAGGATTTGGTTAGCCTGGCTAATGACAGACCCAAGTCTCATTGAGAATTGGGTCTAGGAACCACGTTCATTTTCTCGTATCTGAGTTTACGAATTCCCAGAGCCGGTTAATGGGGGTTATTATAGAATGTCTATCAAATGCGTCTGTACGTTGTAGCTCATAACCAATCATTTCAAGTATATCAGATGACGTATGTAGAGCGACAGAAATTAGACAAGGAAGAAGACGATGGGTCAGAGATTTATGTGTAGCGTACACGATGGCGTGTATCTAACGGCCATTTCACACCGCATGCGGCGCATATTTTTTTGTTGTGCTGATGAGCGACTCCCCATGAGTGAAAAGGCTTATAAATCATACTAAGTGATGTTTTTTTTTAAACGTAAAGATGCAGAAAGTTTTCTGTGATGGGTGTTGAGTGTTGAGGAAAGATTAGAAGATACGAAAATCTAAAGTGCAGTGTGTGTTGTTGATGGCCTGTTGTCCTCTCAGGCCTGAATAACATGACATTTAATGGTATTTCATGCTTGCCTTAAGCCGTCTCTGAAGTGTAAAGTAAGTAAAATAAAGCCTGTTAAAAAAAGAAAGGGGAAGGAAAGAGGTGAAAGGTACTAAAAAGTTAAAGATTTTTTTTAGAGAAATAGGAAAAGCTGCTCTTGAAAATGCACCACTAAAAATACACATTTATTTCTGTGTTTGTTTAGCACATGAACAGCCGAAGGCACAAGGATAGACTGGCTGGGAAACCTCCGAAGCCCAAGTTCAACCCTCACACCAAGAGCCAGCCTACCTCAGCAGCATCGGTGAGCACACACAAACTCGCACATAAACATGCACTTACAATTTTGCGTTTTAAAAGACACCCAACCGTCCAATCACAGCCCTGACGTCTAGGCTAAAACAAAGCAAAATTTGGGCTGTCAGTGAAAATTTAATTGACGTCTAACCCAAGAATAGACAAGCCATCAACACATAACATGTCAAAGAAATGAAACCAAACACCTTGTATGAAATATCATACATTTAGCAAGTTATTTTGACAAAAACGACCAAATTCAAGGTTATTTTGGCTAGAAGTGGGATACTCATATCGGGTCTGTAGTTCACCAAGATGGTGAAATAACGGCTATTGCTTGCTGCGGCTATGTGTTCCTGTGGCTCAAACAGCAGAGCATGATGCAAACTACATCAAAGTCATGGGTTTGATTCCAGAATGCAAAATGTATATATTGAATGCAGTTTAAATATAAATTTATACAAATGCATAAATATAAATGAAATAATCGTATTCAGCATATCAGCACAGAGCAGTTTAAAAAAAAAGGTAAAATATCAGTATGGTCTTATATACTGATGTAGTACAAATACATATTAAATCCTAGAGTTAATTTCAAACAATAGAACTGATGATGATTGACAGGATATGATAATAAGCATGCATTCTCAGCATGACAGAATGAAATGTGAAGGGGATGAAGTGACTGAGGGGAGGATGCCAGCAAACAGGCTCATCCTGATACAAGGAGTAATTTTGCATAATTCAAATTATTTTTAAGTATTCTACTCACACACACTGTGTTATAACAGCTCATCTCTCCTGATCTTTTGCAGCAGGGTGTCAGATGGAACGGTTATGCGAGTGGTGCAATGTCTGCGATGAAGAAAGTTATCAGCCAATGCAATTTTTCCTCTCTGTCCTCACAGGTTAGTGAAATAACTTAAAGCCAACTAACAGTCCATGGTTAGACTCTCTTAGAAATGTAGTGTATAATTTATGCGCGCATCACAACATTAGATCAACCAATTGCTTGACTTTGTTTGGGTCAGGACTAAATGTTAAAGGGGATTTGAAAGGGTCATTCTGTATGGTGCAGCAAAGGGAGTCGCAGGATGACAAAAAATAAAACATTATTTTAATAATTTATTCGTTTCATTTATTAATCCAAATTATAAAGGCCAAAAAATATAAAGATTTATATCATGGTCTGTTGAACTGAATACTTAATCCTGATTGGCTGGAAGTTGTGCATTAAAACTGTTTAATGCACAGGTAGTTTAATTACCGTTATATTTTTACATTGAAGCACACACACAAACATCACTCGCACACATCGAGATCAGAGATCGTGCTTCGTGTCAGGTGGGTCTTCCTCCATGTCGTGCATTAAAATCATTTAGTACACTAGCCTTGGATTATCCCTTACATTATCTTTTTCTCCCTCAAAAATAGAAGAAGAAGCCATTTTTAAAACTTCAAGATTCACAAATAGGGCCTTCGTGTCAAATCTCTGAGCTAGTGGCATAGAAATTATGCACTGCACCTATGAAAAAAGCTTTGTGATATTAAATTGTTTGCACTATGATTCATTCTTCCTCCCTCTCTCTCTCTCTCTCTCAGACTAAACTGGTTCTACAGAAGCAATTGGCTAAAAATTTGACCGCCAGCTTCCTGCCCACCCACATGACTCCGCCCACCCTCTGCACAGTCGCGGCCAATCCGCTTGCACTGCGACACCCACCGGGCACTACTTTCATTCAGACGCCGATCCTCGGCCCTGCGCTCTTTAGGCCAGCTCCCGGACCTCTGAGAGCCACACACACTCCCATTATATTTTCTCCTTATTGATCGCCCACAAACGAAATAGACACGCTCTCTTTCAACAAGGGTGCATATTCACATGATTTAGTCTTACGAACCAATCTCAGTACTGACGGTCTCTGTGCAAACTTCGTCCGTGCTCCCACTCTCTCCACGCTGTATACACGAGTATATAAACACCATAGTGTTCCCTATCCTCCTCAAAGACTGTGACTCTGACTCTGAGAGTGTCACTCTTGAACTATGCAGCAAAGGGAGAGAGAGTGTGTGAGAGAGATCGAGAGAGAGAGAGCAAGACCATATATGGTGTATGGGAGGGGCCTCATTGCTAACACCATGCACTATGCAGATGAACGCTTGATTGACAGGACGTAACTGATAAAAGAGTGAAAGAGCTATAAGAAGGATATTTAGCTTTGCTTTATGAGATATTTATCATTATACAGATATTAATCAGGTTTTTATTCAATTATTTATTAGAGGAAAGACAATTTTAGAGACCTATAACTGCGCTAGCTGTGTGTTTAGTGAGGAAATGCAAACATCCCTTTACTTGATGCTTTGTTGAAAAAAGTATTTTCAATTGTCATTAGTCTATTTTCATGTCGTTCCACGTGGATACGTTGCTGTCGGTCTGTGTATTCACATGCATTTCGAGTAACCTCATCCTGACCGACTTTTGTTACAAATATAAACCTCGTTGGTCTGTCAGTTAACAGATGCTAAGGCTTTCTGTCATGGTTAATCACAGAGTAACACAGAGTGTCAGTCTAATAGACGAAGGTGACAATTTGGTAGCATGGCAACACACACCCGACCCGGTCCTAATCAGTGTCGAAATTTTCTCAGTGTTGATGCATAGATTAGGTGATTTCAGATTGCACATGCACACACACACACACAATCTTAGATGAGATGATTACAGTTCAGTCACAGATTGACGTGGCCTTTAATGTCTGCATATTTTGTTCTCAGTATTTCCTTATTACGGGCTTACAAAGGTCAGTACGCCTGTCAAAAATCTGTCTGCGTCCCATCTTAAGATCTAAACCCTCACAATGTGATTTGCTTGTGCGTGTGTGTGTGTGTGTGTCATCAATTCATTACTCCTTTGATTTTATTCAGAACAACATTTTCGATTCTGGAAGCGTCAATGATTTAGTTGCACAGAGGAGCCATTGCCAAAACATAATGACTATAATGGCGGTTAGTGAAAACTCACTGTCCGTACTGTTAAAAGGAGGGTGCAGGAGTATTTTAAGATTACGCTTGCATAGCTTCGTATTCAATTTCAAATATATTAATCTTACCCTCTACAAGTATACAACTGTTCCTGTCAGATTGCACAGTCACATCGCTTTGCCCCAAATTGGCATCATCTGATGGTTTTGGATGGATTAAGACTGATCAGCTGACTCCAGACCTGTAGAATTAGATGTTGCTGTTAAGTCAATGTTGTTTCATCAGAGCCATTTTTCATCTGTCTGATTTTTTTTTTTTTTTTTTAAAACATGCCCTAGCATAAAGAGCTTTTTGTAAATATTTTATGAATACAGCTTTTAAAAGTAAATCATTAAAGGACAAGTTCGGTATTTTACACTTAAAGTCCTGTTTTAAGATCGTTTTTGTCCAACTCCATTGACTTGACTTGGGACAAAAACTATGATTAAACCTGTTGGAAAGCATCTTTTGCAGCAATTTTTGTGTGCGAACACCCCGGTGAGTTTCACGTCTTTGTAAACTAAAGTTTAATGCGTTTTATGAAGTATTGTTCCAGTGCACCTATGCAACCATTGTGAAGGTGGGGGGGGGTTGCAACCACAGACAGCGAAATTTCTCCAAATTTCAATCTTAACCGTTCCATATCATCAGAAACGATCTTGAAACAGGGCTTTAAGTGTAAAATCCCGAACTTGCCCTTTAACATTTCTAATATATAAAATTAGAGTAAATATGTAGAATTTTATGAGATGTCTAAAGTAGATTCTTTATCTGGATATTGTAATTAATGTGATAAGAACGATCTTTACTTGATGAAGTTATTACTTTTTGTCGCCATTCTGCAGAGACGTGCATACTGAAATAAGGAGATAATCCTATTGCAAAGTAGATAAGATTAAGTAGTTTTTATGTCAAATTGTAAATCAAAGTGCTTTGAATCACACGCAAGAGAAGGAAGGCGATGGAATATGAGAAATATTGCTTAAAAACGGGCTGAGACTCGAACACCCAGACGAGGCATCAGAGCCATGGATGAGTCTCACGCCCCCTCAGGGCTCTTGCTTTTCAGAGGACGTTTTGCCATTTCGGGAATGAAGCCTGGGGCCTTGAACAGAGCTAACTAACAACAGCCATATTGACACTACAAGAGGCAAAACATGGACAAATTCTGTTTGTTTTTTGTTTTTTTCTGAGGACACTTTCGAACAAGGACTTTGCTTGGATCAAATTCTCCTATTTGTGTGTGCGTGTGTGTTTTGATAACTCCTGAACGTCAAACTGATCTCCATAAGTTCCATTGAAAGACCAGTAGTGGTCTTTCAGTGGATACCTTCATGCACAAGAAGACGTAACTGCACCATTCCTAGTTGTGTTGTCCTTATGAGGTCCATACAGCAGATTTGGCTGGTTATATGATCATTTAAGACTGTGATGGTCTCTGACGGATGATTTCATATGTTGTCCAAAAGGAACAGTTCCAAAATTTAAGGTGGTTGTTGTTGTTGTTTTTGTTTTTTCAGTTCAGTGAAATTCAATCTTTAAGCAATAATGACGGAAACCTTTTTATGAAAACACAAGATGATTCCATTTCTTTCTCTCTCTCTATCTTTAGAGTATGTTTCTTCCCCCTGTCACTTACTGTTGTGAGCACTCTCAATGATGTAGGGTGGACAGTGTTTCTATTGCCGATCTGAAGGACATTGGGAAGCTTGATTTGACATTTCCCTCTGTTTATTATACGCCGATGGAATCTGTTTGTCACAGGACAGTCATTGAAACACCCGTTCCCAGCATTGACGAGACACTGGATGGCATTTTCCAGTTCTTCCGTGTTGGTTCAGGGCTAATTTTACTATTCAAATCACACTCCCTTTTACTTCCTGCACTAGTTTGCCTGCCTTGTGCCAAAATATATATTCTCATTAATGACTAAATGCCAAATTGAAGGTTGTATGTTTTTTTGTTTGTTTGTTTGTTTGTTTTTATAATCTCTGCACACCCAAGACAGTAAAACTGTCACATGATCAAAAAGCACACAAACATTTTCTCCCATCAATGTGTTTAAAAACCATGCAGCCTCGTGTGAAAACGTGCATGTGTGCGTGTGAACTGCAAAAACATGTGAATTGTGTCCAATTCAACTAGATGTTTCTTAGGCATGAACAAAGAAGATAAGATTTCAGTAATACTAAATAGGGACAAGGCCAGTATTGCATATTTTAAAATATTGACAGACGTTATATATGGTATGTGTTCTTTGTGCTCAATACATTTCTGTCTGTGACTGATCTAACATTAATCTGACCTGCAGATGACACAAAGGGAAACGTATTTTCATAGGATTTTTCGTCTTGTTTTTCTGGCGTTTGCTATTTCTCTGTATAGGGTTTGTGTGAATGCGTTAAAAAAACGAAATAAAGCAGAGAATGAGAGAGAGAAATAAATCGATTAGATCTTCCACCCCAGTGCTCTGGCTGTTCTTTTGAGGGCTTATGGGACTCCTGGTTACTGACGAGAGAATGATAGCCTATCATGAAGTCTTGCTTTATAATGACAAACATGTCGAAACTTCTCGGTTTTGTATAAACTCAGGCCCACTACACTAGGCAAAAGTCTATCATCTGTTACCCGTTATAAGAAACACTACACAAAAGCACACTTTCTCATTCCAATCGTTCACCTCAACTGTAACAACCATGCGCCATCTTGTGATTATGATGAGAACAGCAAGAAGATTGAAGCAGGGACTGGCCCTTTAACTGTCTATGGCACTGACAGGTGCACCCAAATCATTTTATATATGTTTTATATAAGTTTTACAAACTATGGTAGGTCATTTAAACCTCTACAATCATAAAACATTTTTAATTTGCATTTCATTACATGTCCTACTTGGAAGCTACTTAGAAATGATTGCACTATTTACTTGTATTTTTAGATTGTTACTGGTACTGGAACTAAATTGGCATGGACTCCAAGATTCAGGTATGAACAATTTTTTTTTTTTTTAAATCATTATATATATATATATATATATATATATATATATATGGGTTGTTATACCCAAAAATATACAAATAAAGGTTTCACTTAATATTAAATAGTATTTACGTAATAAAAAAAAATAATTAAAAAAAAACTATTTTAAAAAAGCTACTATACTGACCCTCCTCCTCCTTCACATCTCACTACTAGCCTACTTTTTGCTCGGTTTAATGTCAGTACATTTATGGAATTAGATTTTCATTTTGGCACAAATCTAATTCCATAGGGATTCGTACCAGAAAGGCGAGCGAGAGCTCATGGATCTTAAACGAAAACTCTGACAGCACACTTGTAAATTCAGATTAGTGAAAGGACGAAAAGAAAACGGTTAGCATGCAGTGTATTTAAAAATGATATCAAACATCTTGCCTGCAATACATTTTGTCCAGTTTCAAATAGTTTTATCTATTTTCAATTTATATTTTTATTCGTTTTTTTAAAGGCACGTGCAAAACTTTTGTCACAAATCTTATTCCACATTCTACAGCTAATTGATTGTAAAGCATGCAACTTTTAAACTTCCCAGCCCTTATGAGAAAGTGACATTTTTGAAACGCTATGTATGTTGTGTGAAATTTGAAATTGGTTAATTTGCATAATGCGAAATCTTTGATCTGTGCATTGTAAACTCTATTGATGCATACTGATACAAGCCTCGTTAAATGAAGGGTAGAGCAAGCATTAAATTCAGACATTGTTCACACTCACTCTCTCTCTCTCCCTGGCAGAAGTGTAGAAGAGCCCTCTATTATAAGGTCACTGCAGATCTAGTCATGAACAAAATGAAATATCTACTCCATAAAAAGATAGATAAAGGGCAAATAAAACCAATTCTCCCGTTTACTCCTCCTAAAAATTGAGAGACTGCCGTTATGTCTGGTTTATTCAGTCGTAATGGCTGTGCTGTTAAAAGACAGGCTCTGAGCTATGGATCTGTGCTTTACAGGACTACATTTTTGACCATTGTGTACATTGAACTCTAATTAGAAAGGATTCATGAGCAGTAAACATTTCCACACAAGCATCTTTATTGAAATGTTTGAAAATCTGCACATACAGTTTTTGTTTTCAGACAAAAATGCTTTATGTAACATGTAAAAAGATGTATTTGAAAGCAATCTCAGGTTTTTCCACCCAGAATAGTTTCAACTGAACGCAAACAATTTCTGATATGACTTTCCTCACGAAATTCAATGTCAATAGGGCAAAAAATACAATGGCACAGTGGTGATACTGTAATTATCTCACTCATACACAATCAAACACACATGGATAAAATTTCACTTGTGGAGACTTACTTATAGAATAAATCAGTAAACATTAAGAAACAGGAATGTGTTGTCTCACAAAATAAGTAAAATATCCATCCAGTCTGCATTATATTAAGACATTCTTTTGTCAAGTTGATGTCACAAAAATAGCAGTCATCATAGCTCAAACATCTTTAAAATCTTATTGAACAAGACCAATTATCCAGCTGCTTTCACATAGGTTGTAACTTTTTGTAACATAGAGGTATATATTTTTCAGTGTAAAAGTATTTTGTTTTAGTCAATCATTTTAAGATAAGCATGACATAAATAATCGCACAGCAACATATGAACTCAATATAAAACTTCATTAAAGCAGTAACTTTATAGTGTGCTGAACACGTACAGCTTATAATGGCACTCCAAGTTAAAATGTTACAAAGTTATAAAATTGAGTGACTTGTTCTTTAGAGATTTGCCTCACATGATCTTTACGTTATTCTGCCTGCCAGCTTTATTGCCATCTCCTTGATCTCTAGCCGTCCAGGGATCCACTGCCCTTGTTCTTGTTGCGGCTGAGTGGGAAGGTGGATTTGCTCTGAGGTTGAGTCATTTTGCTGGCTAGATGGACAAAGGGCTCAATGAGCGTTCGTCTGTCAGTCACAGAAACCTCCCACAGCCTGATCTTCTCCTGCCGTGCCCACTGTTGAGCCGCCTCGCTGTCCACTCTCCTCTGATCCTGCAGGTCCAACTTATTACCCACAACAACAATAGTCACCTAGGAGACCGAAAGACAACGTCTTTAGTAAAAGCTTTTTACAATAATATTGTGAAATTTTATTACACTTAAAAAAAAAAAAACGAAATTCTGGTTATGGATGAAATGGTTTTAAAGGGCCGAACAGTGACGTTTAATTAGTGCTTCTCTAATAGCATGTCTTGGCTATGTCAGCATCTATTTAATGTTATCTTAAATAATAATAATATTTTTTTTTAACTCTAGAGAAGAGAATTTTGCTAAATATACACTATGGTTCAAAAATTTGGAGTAAGTAAGAACTGTTTAATGTTTTTGAAAGATGTCTCTTCTGCTCACCAAGCCTGCATTTACCTAATGAAAAAATACAATTTTCTATTTGAATATATTGTAAAGCATAATTTATTCCAGTATTTTCAGCATCATTACTCTCCAGTCTTCAGTGTCACGTGATCCTTCAGACATCAGTCTAATGTGATAATTTGATGCTCAAGAAACATTTCTTATTATTCAATGTTGAAAACAGTTCATATTTTTGTGGAAACTGTGGTACATTTTTTCCAAGATTTTTTTTACTTCAAAATTCAGAAGATAAGCATTTATTTGAAATAAAAATGTATGCCCTCACTGTCACTTTTGATCATTTGAATTGGCCAAAAAAAAGTAATAATATTTAAAAAGAAAATTCATACCGACCCCAAACTTTTGAAGGATAGGGTATACAAAAAAGACAAGCACACAAACCTCTTTTTTATCACGGCAGCGGTCGATCTCTTTCTTCAGTGCCTCTACGCGTTTAAACGACTCTTTGCTGTCGATGCTGTAGACGAGCACGAACCCATCCGCGAAAGTGAAGTAGTGCCGCGGGAACTCCTGACCGTCACGCAGCCCGCGCGTGTCGTAGAACCGCAGCTGCTCTCGGGAGCCGCGGTCCGTTTCCACAGACCCGATGTAAATGTCCTCCAGTGTCTCCATGGTCTCTGAACCTGTCAAGCGGGTATTATGTGAATGTGTCATGATTTTGAGAAACTACAGTAACGTTTGGTAGGTAGCTGTCAAAACACTCACCTGCAACATGGTTGGCGTACAGTAACTGCTCCAGAACTGCAGTTTTTCCCACCGACCCCTGGCCACACACCACCACCTTGCAGCTCTTGCCCATAATGACTTACAAATGCTCTGTCTTCATTCAACTATAGAAATAAAGTAGAGTGAAAGGTATAACTCTGTTAAAACAACAGAATGACGTTACTGAACTGATGTGCTATAATGCAACAGTGGTTTGCATGGTGAGTGTCCTTTTACCAAGCACAACACGTTCCTGTGATCCTGAAACATCATTCCAAACAACCAATCAGATTTATCACAGTTATCAAGTTTAGGCTTACAAGGCCAGGGTTAAGTTAGGTGCTTTTACAATTTACATCATTGTTATTCAGTTATAACTTTTCTCTGATTTTATATATAATTTATGGGTTGGGTTAGGTTAGGGGGAAAAACAGACAGGCTTGTTTCTCCAGGATCAACAAAATGTTTATCCAGGAACACGGCAAAATCCCGGTGACCTGCATACGTGACGTTACACCTGCTGCCCGAGTTACACCATCGCTCGAGTGCATCAGATTGCCGTACATTCAATGCTAAATTATATCTTCAATAGATAATCAAATACATCAATGAAAATAACCAAAGTAAACTAGCTCACCGTAGCCTACTCTCTTCCTGTTTATTTCCAGACGTCGGTCTTCGACGGAATTTGACACCAGTTCCGTTGAGCTGCAGTGTGCCCTCTTCTGTCGGGAGGACAGCAATACATACCGAATAATGGCTATAACCATAACCACATATTTCCTAATTTCAATAACAGACAAAAATGAATTAATAACTAAAGAGGAAATAAGGTGAATAGGTTAAAATTATGCCCTGCTACATCACATTTCTTCCTCTGTGTCAAGCTTGGTCCTGCATTAACCAAAATACATGTGAAACGTGATATGTTTCAATCATAGATTAAAAAAATAGATTTCAACAGAACAAAAGTAATACTTGAGACATGAATCTCACCACAGGTAGCTATATTGATGTATATATTATATGCAAAATGCACAATTCATTAGGTATAGGTCAAATATGGACAAAAACGTATTTGTACAAACTTTTTCAGGGGAATATTAAAGAGCATTGATTCAAAACAAACCAGGGAAAACACAAACAAGGAAAAACACATACGCACATGGATACGCACATGGTGTAAAAACACTATAAACAAATTTATGAAAATATAAAATAAATAAAATGGAAAACATGTAGGCTAATATAGATATCATCAAAACATATTGTTTTCAGGAACCTGTCACATTTTTCTTAGTCAACAATAGATCAAATTCAAAATCTGGCCTGTGTAATAAAAAATGACAGCTTATACATTCATAGTCAATACTGATATTAGGTTGTGAAGAAGCATTGATTGGACCTACACAACGAAGTCTGATTGAATTACATTTTTTTATAAAGGAGTGAGGCTTGTTTCTGTCGTGAATGATATATATATTCTATCTTTTTGTTAGTCCTGATGTACCTCCTCCTGGCTGTACTTATAAATCGAAAATGCGGTCATTTGTCGCCATCTACTGGTGTAATGACGTAATAACACCTACGACCACTGAGCGAACTAATAATGCAGTCGGAGGAACAATCCTTTGTAAAATCACCAGAGAAGGTAAATAAATACTTCAAGGTTTAGTTATTACACATTCAAGAGAAGGAAATGTATCCAGCTTCTATAGTTTTAAACCTGTGTAATTGTAAGAGTACTTTAAAAAAAAAAAATACTCAGTTGCGCCGTTTACCAAACTAGACAAGATGCTTTGAGTTAAACCGTTGTAGTGTACTTTTATAGTGATGTTTGAAAGATGTTTCTCCACAGTTTCTTTAGGAAGGATCTCGTATCCGTTGACCTACTATGGGCATATTGCGCACGGCTGCGGAAGGCGGAGCTGAAGGCAGTATGAAAGGCACACATGCCTCGTCTCATTCTCCGCCTCTCTACAGCAAAATGGCGACTGTTGACTTCGACTCGTCCGCGGATCCAGAGATGGACATGACCAGCGACGAGGAGTTAGAGAGGTATCCGAAAAGATCGATCCCTTTAATAAGAGTCCGGCCGATCCGCCCGTGCGGCAGCTAGATTTTAGGAAAGCTCCGATCGGGAATACAGTTGTATAAGGACCCTGAGATCGTGATTGCCGCATAACTTGAAAATCAAGGGGTGTCCATGGCCTAGTGTGCCAGGCAGCTGTTTTTAGTGTTGGGGTGCCTTGCGATTAACCTGCTGTTATTCTTATACATCTCGCATGAGCTTTGACCTTTTAAAGCGACGATCAAGGGTGCCATGCATCGTGTTATTACGACAGCTTTGCTGTTCGCCGTGACACAGTTTTAGGGTTAGAATTAGGTTGAAGGCAACGTGACATCATCATGCTCTTAAGAACACAATGCGGACGCTCTTAAACCCGCACACATGACAGCTGAATCGTACAGTTGTTCATCGATGGCATTCTTCTATCGAGTATTAGAAACATTTATAGTTGTTGAATGATATCCTGAGTAAGTTAGGTGACTACAAGACAAAAAATGCACATGCAAAAAGACTGAGTCTACAGAGGAAATGACGTGCTGTCATTATATCGAGTCTCATATCGTAACTCACGTTGCCACTACTTCTGACGCTTTTGTAAATATTTTGTCCTAGTTAGGAACTCGCAGATGTTTAAAATGTATCTCTTAAAGGTTCAGTTAATCCCAAAACTCCAGCATTCGGAATTTTACGCACCGTTCTGTTCCATTTTTTTTTTTAAGTGAATGGTGACAGAGGCCGACACTCCTATGGCTCTGATTCTGCCTTACGTCTGCTTTGCCTTTGATTAACGATTAACGATTTGAAAATTAACGATTTTTTGTTAATTTTGGGTGTACTGTCCTTTTAAACTTATGTGGCATTTCGATTATATATATTCATTCTAGTGTAGACACTAATTTGAACACCGAAGCATTGTGTATGAGCACTCGTTTATGAGAACGAGTCGTTCACTTCTGGAACTTTCGGTTTGTCTGAAGTGTCAATGGACTGACGGACGCATGACGTGAATTTGTACGTTGACTATCAGCTCATCGGTTTAAGTTACGCGCTCGAGAAAGTCAACCTCGTGTTTGTTCATAACTTTCCTCATGCGAACAGTAGTTAGAGTATTACAGAGTCACACAACTTTAATGTTGTAGTAGTACAAACCTGTTGATGTTCTTGATGAACTTAATATACTTGACATGAAAATTTATATAGTTTAATATATGTTTTGTAAAATTATTTAATGTTACCAATTTAGAGTCTAAATATTTGCCATTTGGGCTTCATGAAATTTTTTGTTCTGCAAGTAAAACTCTTTTTTTCACTTTATTCGTAGATGAACTGTTTTTTAAGCTTTTTTGTATATCCTTCATTGTTTAAGTGGAGTGGGTTATTCACAATGTTTCATGGGATTGCAGCTCTTTGCTTCAAAGTTTGTAATGCGATTCACCTGGTGGTTTGGTTCATGGCTTATTTAACTCTTTAACAAATACCTTTTTACCTTGTGGGAAAAAAATACTTCTGGAACCAAGGCCACTGAAAAAGTGAGCAGGCACGTATAGGAAACTCCTATGTTTCAAGACTTGAATTTTTGTCTAGCTCATGTACCTGCTCTTCAAATAATTCATGGCATTACACCATTCGAGAAAGCACCAGCCTGGTCTTGGTTTCCAGATTATTTGAAGGGTGTGAACGTGACGTTATCATGCTGTAGGTCTGAATAAAGCACTATATTTGCATGACCGCACACATCACTTCAGCTGCTGTCTGTCAGAGAAGAGTGTGAGGTTGAACATTGGTATGTGATTAAAGGGATAGTTCACCCAAAATGAAAACTGTCATCACGTACTCGCCCTCCCTCAAGTTTTACCTAACTGTATCAGTTTCTTTCTTCTGTTGAACACAAAAGAAGATATTTTGAAGAATGTTGGTGATCAAACATTTGACGTTAGCCATTGACTTCCATTGTAGAAAAAAAATACCATGGAAGTCTAAGGCCATCAACTCTGGTTACCAACGTTCTGCAAAATATCTTCCCTTGTGTTCAACAGAAGAAAGAAAATCATACAGGTTTGGAACAACACGAGAGAGTAAATGACCATTTTCAAGTTTCCCTTTCAGTGGATTTGACTGTTGACCTCCCCTGAGAATATTCCAGAATATTGTTACAAAGTTATACTTTGGTATAGGTAGTAAAAGCTGGTAATGTGACGCTTGTTCTCCAGTCTTCTTTTAACGTATGCTGCTGTCCTGCATTGTTTCCCAGAAACTACCCTATCCCTCCTGACTATATACTATCTTTGTGGTGTCTTTGAATTAAAACCGACACCATATTAGAGGATTGGGACACCCTACGGTCTTCCACCCCTTAGCGAGAACGCGCATTAAGGGGAACAAGGGCGCAAGTGCGGATATTGGGACAGGGCCATAATGTATTCACTAAATGGACAGACACAGTGACTGACGCACTCCCTGTTAATGGTGTAGTGTTTGTTACTCCTGTGTAGGCAGGTATTCTAATGCTAGCGTCCTGACAATGCAGCCCATTCTTCAGAGGTCTTAGATTTGTGACGTGATATGCATGTGCCAGCAGCGTTTTCTGATCCTCTGTTTTTTGAGGACCTGTGCCATATATGCATATCCCGCAACACAAAGAGGGCCTTCTGGTTGAAGTGTTGTATTTTACTATATTCTAACAGCCACACTAGAGCTGCAAGATTCTGGATAAATTGAGAATCACTTTTTTTTTAAATACATAATTAGAATAAATTCAAATATTAAATAATTTAAATAATATTATAATTAAGTAATTATAATATTAAATCATTAAAAACTCTGACTCTGAAGAGACAACTAAATAGAATAATTTAATTTACTGAAGGTTCTGGCAAATTGTTAATTTCTGCAGTGTATTTAAAATGTCTAATCTAAATAAATAAAAAATAAACTTGGTTTGATTCAATGACTCATAAATACTTGACTTGTTTCATTACTGGTTGAATCAGCATTTTTGAATGAATCTCTTGTTTGAATGATTCAATGACAAGTACATTAAGTCACTTGTCGCCACCTACTGGTGTAAATATATTTATATAATTGTTTGAAAGTTGCTTTCAAAAGGTGATTTGCTTTATGTTGATGGCTACCAATAGACATCAGTTTTTATATTTGATTCTGAACTGTACTTTTTATCCCAGCACCACTGTCTGTTATAATATGAATATATGTAACACAGAAATAAAAAAATTGTGTTTGAAATGACTATTGGTGAGGCTGTGTAAAACCTATACATAACAGCTTTTCTTTTTTGATTGTGTTGAATCTGTAGGGAAGCTGAAGGCTTTAAAGAGCAGGGAAATGCTTACTATGTCAAGAAGGATTACTCTGAAGCATTCGACTTCTACACCAAGGCCATCGGTAAGAACCCTTAAAAGTGTGCTTGGCTGGCTGTCTATCAAGTTTATGTTGTTCTCATCCGGCCCTCGCTATCTGTCGGCCTAGCTTTCTGTAGGCATGTTTTGCATGTGCTTTATGGTGCTCGTTTGTTCCTACACCCTTCTGATTCATATGCTGCCCTCAGATTAGACTCAATGTTCACATGATTTACCACATGTTTTCCTTGAAGGCTATAACTTAACTACCAAAGAAGATTTTGTCATGCTACATCTGGTTTTAGAAAT